TGTAATTAAGTTTTAAGTTCTATATCATAGTCTGTATCAGATTTGTAGAACAACAGCTGCCTTGTTGGGACAGAGGCCAAAAGCCCAGGGTGAGCTTTGACATTAACCCCCAGTTAACCATGCAAGACTAACCAGGTTTATAAAAAAATATGACCCCCTACAGAGAGTCTGAACCCTTATCCTGGTGGAATGCTTGTTTGTTTTTAAAGGAAACAAGTCAGAATTCATCTGGAAACTAATAGGGTTTTTCTTGTAATATATATTTTTGCAGCTCCGGTAGGCATTGTAGACCAGAGTCTGCTAAAGGACTTTCCTGTTGCTGCTGGTGGGAGGATCTTTGAAACAGCTGAACAGCACAAGTTAAAAGATGATGAAGGCAGAGATGCAGATGGAGGCATTGCTAAAATGTCACAATTAGAAGATGGAAAGGTATGTTTGTTGAAAACAGTCTATTTTGTAGAAATAACATTAAATTGGAATGCTATCTAAGTTGTAGTAGTTAAATCGTAGCTTCAAACTTCTATGGCCTGTTTTTATAACTTACCACCCTCTGTAGGAGAAGGTGTGGATAGCATGAGATCAAATTATGATCTACTTCTTAGGGTTCTAAACCATTGAGTAACTGTTGGAATAGTAAATGTGTGTACTTTCATGATTAAACACTCACAATTCTAAACATTTAACTGCTTTGTAAGAGTAACTTAAAATCTGGAAATTTTTCAAGATCTATAATTAGAAGCATTGTGTGTCCTTGTGCTGCTGTCCCCCCTTCTATTAAAGCTTTGAATGTCTGTCTGTTTCCATTTACACTGCTCTTCACAGGCAACAAAAAGCTGGTTGAGGTGACATAATCCAAATGTCTGGATTGTATGTTGTTTAATTAGGTAACAAATGGGGCTTTATAAATGTTTATACATTAATATTCTAACAGTACTGCTTACCCTATTTTTGAGTAAAAATTATCACTAACAAATGTCTCCCTTCCCTCTTCTTCACACTTTCCTTCTGCTTACAAATATACCTTTATATTATGGTCATGTCTGTATCTAAGATTAGACTTTCTCTACCACTATACTCCTCCCATTTTGCTTTTCTCCTGTATTTTGCTCTATTTTATGCATTTATGCATCACCTTTCATTCATTCTCTTTCATCCCATTCCTCAAATTTAATTGATATTCATGAAATGGACATGCTTTTAGATAGTTTAGATTATAGGAACCTTAGTAAACCTGCACGGAGAGCAGGAACTCTCAGTCCTGTGGCTGAAAAGCCAGAATGTAATAGAAATGAAGATAAATCATTTACCAGCTACTAGCTTGTAACTCATTTGGGGGGAGTGGGGGGGTGTTCTTTTTGCAATAGACAGAGAAGCTGATAAAATTACTGAAAATGAAGATGCTATATCTACAGTATTTAGTTTGAGAAAATGGTTTTCTTTAGTTTCCATGCATGGTTTGATAAGGATAGCTGCGTTGGATCTCCTAGTTTTACAGAAATGTACATCTCCTTCCTTCCACTTCGTGTTCAGCAGTATCTTTCTGATACTTCTCTCTCATTTCTTCCTTTCTTTCGCGTTATTTGTGTCATTTCTCCTTACTTTTTAATCAGTTCCTTTTTCACTCACATTGTCCCTTCCTGTCCTTCTGTTATGTTGCAACCTGGAGCCTAAAGCAACTTCTCTGAATGTTTTTAATGGCGCTACTCTAACAGACAAAGCAAAGGAAGAGAAGGTGTGTAACTTTGTTGCCCTCCCAACTTTTTTGTATATACATTTGTTAACACATGTTCAGAGGTAACCTGTATTTCCAGAATGAGGCCATGGTGGTTGTGCGTTTAGTACGATCTATTGATATGTAACCATCTATATAAATTCTGTGGTATTAAAAATTAAATAAATAGTATGGTTTACTTGACACTATTCTTAGAGAAGTTTTAGAACACAAGCTACATTAAGTTGTTTCCTGATATGTTTAGAATCTCACAAATCAAGAACTGAACTGCAAAAACTGGCCACCAGATTTCAGAAATGCAATCTTAGGCTACTGGAGGCCTCAGATTGCACACTCCTGAATTAAATAAACTCTTTACATTGAAGCTTTGCTTCATGCTTGTGGCAATCAAGTCCATACATACCTATGCACTTAGTTGCTATTCTTATGGCATATCTCTTCCAGAATGGATTAGGTTAAGGCATTCCCAAAGATGAAACATACCACTTGCCAAACAAGCAACTGGCCTTTAGACATAATATTCTGTAAATTGTTTAGCATTCCTTAGTCATTTGAAAAATAATGGAACTGGTTTCCTTTAATATGTATTTTTTCTTCCTATTTCTTTTAGATAGTTCTGCCTCTTTCTTTTAGATACTAGTATCTCATTTTGACAAATGCTCAAAAGGCTTTGTTCAAATGTAACAATAAGCGATTGTGCATTATGATTAGAACAAGGCTTTATACAATACAAGTTTGTGTGTTTTCCTTCCTACAAAGAAGATATAGGAGGAGTCTGGAAGCGTTTATTTTCACTTATAATAAATCACAGTCTTAGTTAGGGTTTGCCTATACAAACCAATTTCAAAGCAACTCCAGTGCAACTTCATTGTCCATTTTAAATTTTTAACAATTTTTAAAACTGATTTGGGGAATTGTTCAACAGGGGTCACAGATCAGTAATTCAATAGCTAATTCTGATTTTCTTTTTGTCACATATGTCATATGTCAAAGCTGCATATGACTTTTGAAATTTTAGTTGTGACTTCCTAGTTTCCCAAAACTCTAGAAGCTTATTAGAACTTATTAAACCTGCTGAAAAGCAAACCTATACTTATATTTAATTAAATGTTAATGAAACAAAAAATAATCATGTATTGCATCCTGCATGTCACTCATATCAAATATAACTCTTGGGCCAGAAAAAGAACTGAGTGAATAGTCTTGAATTCTGTATACAATACAATTAAAGCAGGCCCTATGTTGGAAGTATATTTCAGTGTTAATCAGAATGTGAAACAGTATTGCTTGGAGGGGGGGGGTTGGAGGAATTTAACTTTACTGGAGAGCACATAAACATCTCTTTGATATGGACAAATGTTAAACGTGCTAATCTTGTTGAAGATAACTTGTCATTAGTTGTATTTGGCATTATATTTGAATAATATTTCATAAGTGAGAGGCCATACCTGTACTGCCTCTACTCTGGTGTTTACATTGACCCCACTCATTATTTATCTACTCCAGTAATGTCTCGTATTATTGTTAACACAGATCAATTGCATCTAAAGATAGTTTGTGCCTCTTCTCTTATAAAAGGACTGCCAACTAATTGCATAGTGATTTGCGTTATTGGATTATGCGAGGAATAGGCAAAATGTTTTCAGATTCAGAATGACTTGAAAATCCAATTATGAGAGGCAGATGGTCTATTTCAACCATTTTGGAAGTATATCTAGCACTTAAAACACTTTTAAAATTCAATGCAACAATCAGCTTCATGCTAAAAAGAAATGGACAATTACACCATGCTGAAGTAGTTTGAATTTGAAACAGTTTGCATATATCTAGATAAATAAGTATTAATAGCAACAGATAATACATAAGTAAGTATTAAAGATAAAATAATTCATTGAAATATATGATGGGTGGGAGAGTTGGAAGTTAAAAACTTAAATGAGTTTGATATTATATATGTATCAAGTTCTCCAGATGAGCTGTTCAGAGCATCCATTGTTTGGGATGATGCTTCTGTCGCTCGTTTGATAGGCTGGGCTTTAATTGAGAGGACACTCCTCTTCCTCCACAGGACTCCTCCCTAGCGTCCCCAGTTTTTGCTCAGCCTTCGTGGATATAGGCAGCTTAATTTCCTTTCCCTTGGCCAGAATAGCAAAGACTTCAAAAGGAGACAACAAAAAGGTTTGTTTTAAACTCTAAACAACTCCTGTAAGGCTTTTAGTTTCAATGAGTCAAGCAGCTCCCTACTGTATATAACTCAAGCCAAGGGAGCTCACCGTAGCTTCAGATAATGATCTCTCGCCCCCAGGACGATAGGAGGTGATAACGCTTCAGCCGCATGGCTAACAACTCACATTACAATCTTTTCAAGCCGAGCCACTACGATCGCCACCACCCGCGCCCGACAGGAATGGCTACATTTTAAAAGGGTGCGAGGCTTTTTTTCTCTCCCCTAGGAACACCATCTGGGGTGGGGGCATCAGCGCCCATCTGCCCCACCGCGCCTTTTTATTCAAGGGAAAACTCTGCAGTATTGACTCCCCACAAGGCGTGGAAGTGCTGCTGAGCCGATTTAACTCATTACGCGCCTAAAGAAATAACGGCTGGTGCCATTGCAGACTCACTAACCATGTGGTAGTGATCTGCATTTTATTTCTGGAACTGTGAGAGGCTTTTCTTTCCCCAAGCAGGGGTCTCCTTCCTGGAACCCGAGAGAAATCACCCTAATACATATGTGTGTGTTTGGATAGATAGATAGATAGATAGATAGATAGATAGATAGATAGATAGATAGATAGATAGATAGATAGATATTCAGATATAATTATTCTATTTTGGACCCTTATTCATTGAGCAAACTGTTGGCTTATGGCCTCACAGAATTAAACAGCAGCACCACAGCGAGCACCAAGGCCCATGTCCGCCTGTGCAGGAAGCTGTCGCAGGCCTACATCTTATTTCAACAATTCCTCCTTTCTAGGCCTATGAGGTGTTCCAAATTTGGCTAATTCGCAAATAATAATATTAATAACAAAATAATAATAACAATAATAGGAACAAGAATAAGAATTCAATATTCTTACATAACATTATACAAAACTGGGGAGCATTGTTTTAGGGTTCCCTGGCCATTGCTGGTTCAGGCCCCTGGACGTGCCAACCACCCAACATTTCAGCCTCATTAACAGTAAAATTTAATAAGCGGTCACAGTGGCAAGCGGCAGTAGCTCAAGAGCCATGTCAAATTCTCAAAACAAATTGAAGCATTCTAAGAGTATCTCCTAAGCAGCAGAAAAAGACGCTAACAAGGGCCAAAAGGTACTAGAAAAACACATGAAGTTCATGTGGGAGGATGAAGAAAATTCTCAAACCTCATCTCCTCCAGGCCTACTTCAGCTCCAATCCCCCTCCAATCCCCCTCTGAATCTGTCTTTGTAATCCAGATGCAGCGCAGCTGCACAAGATCAGGTAGCCCATCTAGATCAGTACAAGTGACTCGAAGTGACTCTGTGGCCACATTGCTCCAACAGCAGCCAGATTCTGTCAAGATGATGACTTACCGGAAAAGATCCCCACAAAGATGTGACTGTGGATGGAATTAGCAATACGCCAATATATCTCTGTGGGGGTGCAGCATACTGCTCTGGCCAACAACAGAGCGCTCCTTCTGACTGGAATTCCCTATAACTCTGGTCACTAA